AAATATTAACATAGCATTGACATATATATTTTGTGTTATTTTATTAAAATTTGGCATGTGCTTCCGTAATGCTATGCAACGGAAATAAGCTATTTGTTTTGTATAAAGATGTGCTTGCAGATGTACTGTATAAGTAAATTGTACTCGATAAATTACAAATAATATATGCAAAATTTTATTAATTATTAGATTGTTAAAACGAAATTATGATCATTGATTTCTAACGCAATATATACGTATTTCTTTTATGGTAATACCAATATTTTAATTTCAATGATACATTTTCACTCATTTACGTCATCGCATCATATGCTTCTTAAAATAAAATTTTACATTTGACACACATGAAATATGTATTATATGATTTCGTAATAGTCATAATATGAAGGACGCATATGTATTACAAATTGGGATATATTGTTGAGACAATTCAAAATTATTATTTTACAACTGTGTTGCGTAACGCGTGAATAAATAGTGCTAAAAAAATTTCACTAATCAATTTAAAAATTTGTATTGAAAAATTCATCTATTTTATAATACGTAATGCATTAACAACAAAATTATAGATATTAACAATTAATATGAAAGTATTGCTTCAATAATTTTATACAATTATAAATTTACGAAAAAATGTGCAAATATGTAATAACGATTGCTATATTACTTATATACATAAGAATGTGTGCACATTTGTAGAAAATCTTTACAATATAAATTATGAGGTAGAACTAGTCTATGTGGCATGTAATGAACATGGGAGAAGAGGCAATCTCTTAATCCCTTTGGATTTGGTCCATTATCGATCTGTTTGCCGAATCGTGCTAGATTTGTGCTCGTAATCAAAAAATTATATCGAAAAATAACTCCCCTCCTACCAACAGAAAAGAGATACCTTAAAAAAACTTTTTTCTTACCTAAAGATATAAATTATGACTTTACAAATATATTCTTAATCCTATTATTTGAATATCAAGGTTCTTTCATCTCATAATCAATCATTATTCAATAGACTGTAGCCTGACAAATAATTGAAGAGCATAACAAAAATAGATATGATTATATGTGAGAAAGAGAACAATCTCGCTCACTCGCTCACACAAGAAATGTTCTGTGAAGTTGGTCATATGGAATGCTGAATATGTTTATGTGGCTGTGTTTTCTCAATATTCTCTATTCTTTTTAACTCGATTCGCCGTTAAATTGTAAAAGACAT